ATCGCGTCGAGGAAACGGCATCCGTACCTGTCGCATCGTCAAAGGAATAGGACGATTCTCTCAACACTAGGGCAGCTTTCACGAAACTTTTACTGATCTACAATTTTCTCAGTATACGACATCAGAGCCGCAATTATCTCTCACGTAGATGTTCGCAATCTGATCCGACTCGTCCAGCGACAGTATTCTTCTATCGAGCGAATCTATGGCGTTGGGGAAACGGCATCCGCATCTATCGCATCGTCGAAGGAATAGGACGATTCTCTTGACACTAGGGCAGAGTCTTCCGAGGCACTTGAGGCCAAACTTATCAAAGGTAAGTTGACCCTCATGAATGCGAAGAAAGCCGATCGACTCCTCGCCAACGCAGACAACGATACCGACGCTCTCGTTTTCTCAGATGGTGTGGTACGCCAACGTAACAAACGTGAACCTTATCAGCCTCTTCATTCTGCCGCTGATGTTATGTACACTGCTATACTAGGATTTTTTTACATGTGGCGCTTTATGTCAGGTTTTGTAACCGATCACATACCTTACGATCTCGTGTGTGGGTGTCTGAACACCAACAGACATACCGGAAAGTGTCACTCGTTTCGACGACATCCTCATGGCCGTCTCTTTGTGTCGGACAATAAGTTTACGCATTAGGCATTGATTCCCTCGCAGCTTTCTCGCTACGTTCTTGACTCCGAAGGCAATCGCCGACCTAAGGATCCATGTTCAAAAGTAGTTCCCTTGAAACTCGATTTTAAACTTGAAAGCTTGTATATTTACCGCAAACATCTTTGTCACATAGTCGCCATTGCCTATTCTTCAAATCTTCGCGTAGTTGCACATGCAAGCATTGCAAGTACGATCATAAGTGAAATATTTATCGCGGTATCAACCCAATCATGCACACCTCCCCTAGCCACACATGGCTAGTAGACCAGCACCTTCCAACGCAACACCATCATTTTGGTACATTTCCTCTGCATTGCATTCACCCCTTGCTCAGAATCCTTGTTTAACAATCAACCACACTCTACTATCAAATGTACAATCTTCAATCACACAATCATATACAGCCTTACAATCATGACACCCGCTTATGACCTTAGTCCTCATCTTATCTGCCCCAACCAATCGCAAATTGCTACGCCTACTTGATAGGACTCAAGTGCCCAGACCCAGACACAAACAACACGCACATCCTGTACACAATATTCACCATGGAGCCGATTACCCTCCCGTGGGCTATTCCCAAACCCCGTTCATCAGCCAAAGAGCATGCCTCATGGCTTCAATCCTCGATCAAATAAGAACTAGCCCAAAACCTCTTGGTCGCTTCGATGAGCCTCAAAGAAGTGAGGTTCTAGCCATACTATTACCTATCTCCTGTCGGTGATATTGAAAAAGGTCCGTAGCGATGACACGGTCAATCTTTGCAAAATTCACCATCTCGCCTTCCCTCGAGCTTTGCAATATATCAATCTCTGGGACGGATTGGACGCCGTTGCCGCAGCCTCCGTCGGGTCAACCCTCTCGGTCGCCGACATTCGTGCTGCCTTCCATTTGATCCGGATCCGGGATCAGTACGTTCCGCTGTTGAGATTCCTCTTCAACAATCAAGCTGCCATTCGGTCTTCGCAGCAGCCCATATATTTCCGAACGTCTAGGTGCTGCCCTCGACCATAAGTTTTTTGCCTCGAATTCGTTGCCAACTTTCTAGATTCTTACTTCCCCAATATAGGTGCTCATCTGCCAAGATCCAGCTTTATTCTCTACCGTCCAAGTGCTGATCGCTTTCGGAAGAATGCTATCAATGTTAACCGCCTCTAGTCTTTGAGCGTGCTTCTGGACATTCTCACTCGCACGGTTGGTCTATCAATCATCACATCTCAAGCGTATGCCGACCTCCTTCACAACTGGCTTGCAAGACGGACCGCCACAGCTCGCGAGATAGCCTCTCTCTACGGTCGTGTAATCAGGCTCTGTGCTATTTTCCCTCAGTCATGACTATAAACGCGCATACAAATTCAATTAATATCCGCAAATCGAGAAAACATCACTTCGTGGATATGCATGCTTCATTCTTGGTCCGGCACATCGCTGTTAACGCGCCCTCACGTATCCAATATTACAGTCGCCGTCGAAGTCTGCTCGACGGTCGGTGGCAGGGGTTTTTATCTCCTCAAGAAAATGATATTTCTTCTCGAATAGTAGTCATCACCATCACCCTTCAGTGGAGGGAGGCAAACTATTTCCTTTACAGCCCTCGAGCTCTTGGCTGTCATATATTTGGCATAGATATTCAGTCATCTCTGGCAAAGATACACGTCAATTTTTTCAGACAACACAGGAGCAGTCGCTACTATCGCATCGCGCACAAGCCCCATCCCCGAAATGAACAGTCTGCTGCTCATGCTTACGGAAACAGGAGATCGTTTTTGACATGAAGAATACATACTCCCACATGCCAGACACCAACAACACATTTATCGCTACCTTTACTTGCGCACTCAATGATATACAGATTGCCACAACAACCTAGTCTTTCGCCTGACAATATTCCCTCGCACGCGCTCTAGCAGCAGCACAATACAATGACATTTTTTGGACCTTGTAGTCCACTAATGACTTACTTTGCGCAAAACTATCATAGCTGACAACTTACCCGAGGGTGGTGTTTGAATAAACTACGCTGACTGGCTTGGTATCCGTGGTCACCAGCCAGACTCTATTGCCCCATACTTATTTTTATAAAATGGCCTATACTCACAGCATATCATAACTCTGCTCTTACAATGCTTTGCAAGGGGATAAATCAATGACAGGCGAAGCGCGTCCTCCGTCAAAAGTGACCGCGAGAGGACGTAACTTCCCGTGTGCTCTCTCTGAACTTCACGCCTGCGCTACTCGAACGAACTAGCGCAGGCGCTAAGTTCAGGGAGAGCACACGGGGAGTTATGTCCTCGCGCGGTCGAACGAACTCGAGTGGATCAGAGTTTGGACTATTATGCTTCTCATCGTACTTTCTGTCTCCCATAGAGGTGAACTCATCACACATGCAACGCTGGGCGCATATCTCAAATTCCTGCAAGAAAATCGAAACCCCGGGGCATAGGACTGAATATATTTCAAGAACACGCACTAATACTGATCGCTCCTTCTAAGACCCAACAGCACAGACCAATATATGTTTGTGTTCAACAACTACACGATGACCCAAAATGACCATTTGAGAAGAATCGTGTTGCGTTAGAAATGAAAAAAAATATTCCCAGCGAGGGGCTCGAACCCTCGACCTTGAGATTAAGAGTCTCACGCTCTACCGACTGAGCTAGCCAGGAATATTTGATTTTTAAAAACATAATATATAATTGCTAAATATATGCGATTTTTCAGCTGTCTATTTTGGCTGATGTTCCTCACATTTTTTATTTTAGGTTTTGTCTGAAAGCTTCTAGAAATAATATGCACATTCAGGAATATACAGACATGATTCTCTTTCGGTGCGGTTTTACGGCTTTAATTTTTATTTAGAACCAATAACACTGGAGAAGCTGACATTCACATCAAATGGAGCAAATTGCTTGAATGATAGCTTGGTGCCGGCATTTCGTTGTCTGTCATCTGTGCGGCTTCCCAGACCCCATGACTAGTGGGTGTTGCGTTCATGGATTAGATTTTGCCGTGCCCCAAGTTTTAAGAATGTACACATATCCTAGATTAAGATAAAATAAAAATGCAAACAAGGCCATAAAGAGGAGCAGGTAGTTTGCATAACGAGTTATATATTCATATTGCCACCGATATTTTAACTTTATAAGTCCTTGTTTTAACCGAAAACGGCACTATATCACTAGGATAGGGTACTGTCACCCTACTTACTGTAATGTATGGATGCTCTGTTTTGTTCGACTCCTATTAAACATGATTAAAAGTACAAAAATACAGTTCACAGTGCGTCACATTATATAGTGGCTCTTAGTATTCAATAGCCGGTGACGTCTACTAAAACAATCACTCTTCTTGAGCACAATTTGTGGACTGGGGTTGTCACAAACTGCCTTCGCATAATTTTCAATTTTTTTTATTGCTACTGGTTGTATGTGAGCACACTCATTGATGAAGAAATCGCCATGCCTGGAGTTGTTCAGCTGCAGTTAGATCATCAATCGATTTTAGTTCGTATCATACAATCGTGGAATCCCGGTTCAAGCTTGTTGTTTCTGCGAACCACGGGACGGTTAATTGGGGCTGCCTACGAAGTCAATCAACGTAGCTGCGACCGTGTAAAAGTTCAGGATACATTCTCGAAAATGGCAGCTTCACATCTTCCTCTAGAATTCGCCACATTGTTTTATTGTTCATCGTTGGTTGATGTCATATCAGTAGGAAAACGCTTAAAAACTATATGCAGCGTGAGCATTGTTCATGTCGGTGAGAGTAAACTATAGAGACTTTAGAATATACCCTTGCAATGTAACCTTTTCAAACGAAATGACAATCATCCAAGTTTGCAAAAGCAATTCGAACCAAACAGACAATATGCAGAAGCAATCGGTCACACAACCAGACAAGGCTGGATGCGGTATCAATACATTATCATTGTAGTCAAGCGATCATGTGGATGTCTGAAGCTTTGGAGATAAATATTTACAAACAACAGGATTCCATGACTTAAATGCTATTCGAATTCATTGTTTGTTGTGTACGCATGGCTCAAATGCTTTCCTGACAGCTACCAGATGTGACTTGCAATGTCCCTTTATTTAACTACTTATTTCCATTTATGGCACGCAAGATATTGTGCTGGCCCTCAGCATGACATGTCTCTTCATTCAATGTAGTGTCATATCGAATTTTGAGATATCTTGAACCTCAGAGTACTGAATACAAATTACACATGTATATTCGTCATGTTACTTGTATTCTTCGTGCAAATAAGATACTTAAGAGCGGAACGCACATAGTTGCTTTCAACCTATATCCAGCAAGTTTGATGCCGGAGCTCACCTCTTTGTACATGTAGTGCAAGAAAACTCTGAAATTACGTTTCCCTTGTACCGGCTGCGTTATTAGTGTTTACATGCCGCCAATAGAGATATTCGAATCGAGATAGTCGACAATCTTCCAACACTAAGCACTAGTGGAATATTTGGTAAGATCACATTGAAATCATTCTGATAGCATGCATTATGGCTGGGGTTCATCACTATTAATGGGTTGTTTGTCACAATTTCATGGGAATGACCCATTGAAACCCCATCTCAGTAAGATTTGTAGTTCTGATGCCCTAACGTCGATTTCATGTTATTTTCAGTAGCCCGTAAACCGTTTCATATAAAAATAACATACTATAGTGACGGTTGAAAAGGCTATATTACGAATTACAGCCATCGAGGAACCACCTCGTCATATGCTTGCAGCGACGGTGAATTTTAATACGTTGAATTTGTCATGTGAAACAAATGCACAGTTATGAGTATTATCGACTGACCTTGTAAACATATTCTTGTTGTGGATTCTGAATACATCGATGTGCTATTTAGTGCAATTGTAAACCGTTATAGGAGGCAGAGGCGACTAGTACTTGTGTCTTAAAGCAGCTAGTAGCATTGATGCTATAACACATTGAAAATATTTAGTGTACTCTCTTGGACTCGGGCGTAAATCAAATATATCATTTTAGTATTCATCATAAAACTTCTAGAAAAGTAATCATTGTCACAATGGTCGCAGATATGAGACACTACCCATTGCATATGAAATTGCGTGACCACTAAGCAATGATCACGGTCTCGACAACAGATACATTTCGCTGAATTTGTGCGTTGGCAATAACGGGTTGTGAATTTTTTTTATTTGTTTTTATCATCTTGACAAACCTTTCCACTGTTGTTTGACTGAAGAATTGCATATAAAGAACAACTCGGATGTGTCAAGAACAATTCGGATGCGTACCTTTTTTGGAACCGTATACAAGGGGGTAGAACAATGTTAGATGGGGAGAAATTCGCGATACAATCAAGAGATGGCGAGTATACTCCTGATACCACAGGCAGTCTAAGAATATTATAGAGTTTATTTCTCTCCGGACACAAATGCGTGATGAACTCCTAGATGTGGACGAAGAACCAACCCGCACCCCTCGTCGATGCATAAACAGGAAATATCGACAATCAAATCGACACACATCAGCCATTTAAGGCTTTGGCAGTTTGATGGAAGAATATTGCTCTCAACATAAAAGTTACTGTAATCGGGATAATAAACTAGGCGCGTTCGACGGATGAATCTCGCCAAATATCCGACCTGTTCCCGAATATGGTACTCTATTATATGGGGGCAAAAAATGACGACGTTCACTGAGGGTTACTCGCCTTTTTTTTTTGAAGTCAACTCGTTTTTCAATATCGGTCACAAAGTGAAGGGTTAGTGGCACAAAACTCTCTCGACTCGACATCACATGATGTATGTAAATTGTACCACGTATGTACCTGTTGGTTGTATAAAAGCGGTTTACAGCAGCAAATGAATAGATGCTTGGCCCATTCTCGCTTATCTGAATACTGCTGACTTGATGTGGTTGCCTCACATGTGAAGTGCGGAAAATATCCAATAAGTATTGCTCGCACTGATTTATGACAGGGTTGTTCTGATCCAATTTCATTCATGCATGTTGAATTATGATATTCGTTAGCTGATTGTTGCCATTTTGATAGCAAAGATATACACATTAGCCACTGGCCCATATGAATGTCAATATATACTCTATGTCGTGTTCAGTATTTGCTGATTGTTAAGCAATATATCTCGTGTCTCAATCAAAACCACTGCTCGGTACGTTAAAAACACTGTACTTGCTCACAAAATAGTTCATTGCCAATCATCATGCACTACATGCAAACCATCATGTGCTACATGCAAACCATCATGTACTACATGCAAACCTGTCAAATACGTTATCACATATCTCCAACTGTTCCAAGTATTGGATTTAGCAATCGCAGATGTTTGTTATAGAATCCGCGTTCGATAACTTTTTTTCAACGTCCTCTACGAAAAATAGAGTGTGGTGCCAATTCAACCAAGTTGGCATTTACGCTTGATCCCTGGCGCGGCGAAAGATCGACGAAAAAAATCAAGACTCCAAGCAGATTGTATACTGCATTTGAAGGAATATAACGATATTGTGTATTTATACAAAGTTGTTGATTTGCTGATCTGCTTAATATTTGAGGAAATACTCTAAATGTACATGGCCTACATGGGAAAGTCACTAAATGTACAACCTTATTTACGGCTACGTTTTCTATTTGTTATATTAAATTTGCTAAATGTGACATTCAATTCCTTTCTCAAACTTATTTCAAATATAGTTTAAGACTATGTGCATTTGGTGACTTTTCAATGCTGTAAACCTTTTGATGATACTTGGGTTCGACGCACAAAAAAAAGTGTGATTTTTCTTTATAATTTACAATTTGCAAATATATACTTGAAACCGTCTGAATTTTCAAGTATATATTAGTCAAATATACATTTCGTGACTTTTTAGGATTACATATGTACATTTAGTGTATTTCCTCGTTATGTATTGATGACCATGTCATACGGCAACTTCGAGAAGGCTATTATGAACTTACCCTCGACCGCCACGTTCATTTTTTACAGGGCGAGAGTTGAAGGCAATTTATACATATATATTTTTAAATTGAGTTTAGAATACAAGTTGATAAATGATATATTATTATTGAGGCACGCGTTGCTATCGAGGCACACGTACGACATCTCTGACCCAGAAGTCACCAGTCTACACCCGAACTCGTGGATTTCGTATTTCCACACGTGTGGAACGGGATTATGACCATATTTCTGAAACTCAATAACACAATGGATATGATCAGAAATAGCGATAATACATTCGAGCATGACAATGCCCAAAATGACATACGATAGCATCAATTTTCAAGAACCACAGTTTAAAATTGTATTTCGCAAGTTCGTTCAATATTAATAGTCATTGAGCATCCTTTGGTTTGTTTTACGCATAGTATGAGAAAAATATGCAAACCAAACCTCGAAACGATATGGAATTTTTAAGTCCATATATCATATAATATATATTATTATTATATAATAGTGGTATGCCCGGCTAGCTCAGTCGGTAGAGCGTGAGACTCTTAATCTCAAGGTCGAGGGTTCGAGCCCCTCGCTGGGAATATTTTTTATTCAGTTTCATCGACATTCAATTATTCCCTTAAATAAAACGGCGGCACTTAGGGCATAGCCTTCTAAAATAGAAACTTTTGGGTCATATGTTGTTTTTTAACAATAAGATTTA